AAATGTATGGATTTTATTTGGCAACAAGCATTTATAAACAAAAGCAAGAATGTTCTTACTTTTTCAAAATGTTTAAGTTTAAGAAATGCACATAACTATTCATCAGGTAAACTGAAAAGTGCGGGTAAATTAAGGAGGACGCTAAACGATGTATTTTAATGTCTTATAAACGAAAATCAGTAAATGATTATTTTTTTTTTATTCATATTGTCGATAAACAGATAAACATTTTAGTTATGTCTGAAATTTTACACACGCACACATATATATATCTATGCATATATATATAATATAGCATATATATATATATATATATATATATATATATATATATATATATATATATATATATAATATAGTACATATATATAATTGTATAATATAGTATATATATAATATAGTCTCTGTATCATATATATATATATATATATTATACGTATATAATATAGTATATATATAATATTTATATATATACTATATATAAAATAGTATATATATGTATATATGCATAAATAAGAGAAAGATATACAAATATAATATACATATATATATATATATATAAATAAGGGTTTTATATACATATATATATATATATATATATGATGTAGTATATATATAAACTATATATATATATATATATATATATATATATGATGTAGTATATATATATATATATATATATATATATATATATATATATATATATATATATATATATATATATATAAAGGATTGATTATAGCTGTTCCAACGAGAGAAAGCGCAAATATTTTTTATTTTATAATGTGGATATTTTATATATTATATTTCATTATATTTTATTTTCTATATTTGTATAAAAAAATAAAAATATAGAAAATAAAATATGATATATAAAAAATTGTTATATATTATATAGAAAAAATCCACATTAACCAAAAACGCTTGCTGCGTTTTCTCTCTTAAATTATATCTATCTATCTATCTATATATATATATATATATATATATATATATATATATATATATATATATATATATATATATATATTTGTTTGTGTGTGTATGTACATAATGGTTTATATGGGCAGCATTCCCTCTTTTCTATAAGTTTAAGTAAAAGACGATTGACAAGGTATTCTTTTTTAAACTTATTATTCATTTTTATTTTTTGCGGAACATCAAATGTGTAAAAGCTGCCCATATATATATATATATATATATATATATATATATATATACACATACATATATATATATAAGCATTTCTAAAGTTTTACACACAATGTCTACAAAAGAAACACTAGAAAAATTCGTTAAAACACTTAATCGCTGTAATCCGTCAGTCAACTTTAATGACTATATATATATATATATATATATATATATATATATTATGAAGTTTTCTCGAGTGTGCAGTTCTGTAATGTAATACGTCGTTTAAACAAACATACAAAAAACAAAAAACTATGTGTCAATTTCGAACCCGTGTACACTAAAAAAACATTTTATATATATATATATATATATATATATATATATATATATATATATATATAATTAAGTTTCTTCCAATATATTCATATAATTTATGATTTCCTGCACAAAGCATGTTTAAAAATTTATATATATCACATGGTAAAAATGTGGCCATTAAACCTGATATCCAATTTGAGAGATTCCTGATTCTTTTTTTTTTTTTACTTGATTCTCTCATAAAAATGAACATTCCTTTTAGATATTTTATCCTAATGTAAACATTGGAAGAACAGAAAAGAAAGAACTGGAAATCGTAGATGTTTTAAATATTATTTTTATCCTCAAGTTTGAATGCTTTATAATAGGTAATTAATTCGAAATCTGTAAAATATATATGTCTGTTTTGATTAACTTCGCTGGTGGCATTATAAATTTTTAGTGCATATTTCAATATATCTTTCTTCAACATTTGACAGTTGATTAAGAAAAGTTAAGTATCTCATTATCAGTGGATAAATGTTGTGTTTTATTTTTTGTTAATTATTTTTCAGTTTTTTTGTCTGTTCTTCTTATTATTATTGATAAAATCTCCATTTTGCGTTTAAGACAACATTTGAAAAGGAATATGTCAACTTATTAATTGTCAAGTGCAGAAAAACTTATTTACCAATATAGACGAACATTTACGCTGCCACCGGCAAATTTAATGAAAACAGGCATATTTTTTTTTAATAGATTTTGTGTTAATTATCAATTATATCGCCTCTGAATTTAAGGTTAAAACATATTTAAAGCATCTATGATTTTCTGTTATTATTATACTAATATAAAGTAACTTCCCTGTACCTTTTCCATGGTCGCCGACCTGGGTGGGGTCCTGATTGGTATTTAAAGCAGTGCTTTGTGACCCCTCGCTATCTTATTAACATCTGCTTTTTCTACCTACATTTATATATGTTAGAAATTACACAAGTACAACTGACTATAAAAGAATGAAAAATTTTCGCGGATTTTGACGTCGTTCTTTTTTTCTTTTTCGTCGTTCTTTTTTTTTTTTTTCGTCTGTGTTTTGTTCCCGCTAAGTCTAGAAACAAAAAACATTATATAAAATTCATTATTTTTTAGCCGTACTGTTAAATGTGTTAAAATTATTCAACTTTCTATAAAAAAAACCAACAAAAAAAAAAACAAAATCTCAAGCTGATGTTAAAATTGCCGTAAAGCATTGTTGATTTATTTAAGATAGAATGATCTATTAAGATATATTGCTAATTTCTATTTAGATACATTGTATTTATTTTCAATTTTACTAGTTGAATTTATTACCTATTTTGCATATGATCAGTTATTGTACATAATTAGGCTACAATAAAGTTTATATTTTATGAGAATATTACCTTCTGAAAATTGAGATATAGTAAAGTTGGGGAGGGCGTATAGATTTGGTGGGACCCCACAAAACCCTTGAACTGTCCGTTGGCCTATTCTATAAATATTTTCATGGTAATCGTTTTGATGAGCTTTCCTCTGTGCTTCCTCGACCGTACGAATCTAAGCGCCAGACTGGTAGTTAGGTTTCATCATTTTACACTTGAAATGGTGACATGTAACAGTAAATTCTTCTCAAACAGTTTCTCGCACTTCTCGCTTGTGGAACTCTCGTCCGACTTTTTGCTTTCCAATCAACTTGTTATAAAATTTTGTGAAGAAATTTAAATGCAATATGAGTCGTCTTTTGTTTTTTTAATTCGTTCATATTGCATTTTAATTTAGATAGCATTCAGAACCAAATTTCTTTTTCAACGGAAGGAATTCTTCAAGTCCAGTTAGATGCGAGACATATCATGGCATATCCATACGTCTCTCCATCTCAATTTAACTCTTGAAAATCATGGAACTGTGAAACCAGTAAAATTACTCTAGATAAATCTTCTTAAAGACTCCAGCGGCATTTTCAACTTCTTTTTCCTACACACACAAACACACAAACGCACACAGGTTATATATATATATATATATATATATATATATATATATATATATATATATATATATGTAACCTGTTAGGGTCCACCAGGAGGAGGAACCCTAAATTCATTTTCTCCAAGGTTTTTCGATCATGGTTGATTATCGTCATTTGGGAAGGGATATTTTCTTTACTTTTTCTGTTAAATTGTCTGCTTTTATTAGATTGGGGGCGAAAATTGTTGTTTCAGACGAGTTCATTATTGGTGGCGAAGTTCGAGTATTAGGAATTGGTTTGATCTCTTATTAAAGATGTTTAGGGTGTTAAAAATGGTTGACACCTTGCTTTTCCATTTTCTTTGCCTCGCTCATCTCTCTTCAATAATGTAAATCCCCAGGAAAAAAATTTTCTTGGTCAAGTAATTTAAACATTTACTTTCTTATCTCTTGTGATTTAATTTTAAAATAATTTTTAATAAATTGTCTGCATAAATTTAAACCATTTTGTAATTTCGGTCTGATGAGGCAAATACAAAAAAAATATCTGTCGAAATAAACTTATTACCGAGTTCTCCGGTGATGTATTATATTTTGCTTCTATATATATATATATATATATATATATATATATATATATATATATATATGCAATATTTATGGGATAAAGTGCTCAATATCAGAGATAGAGCATGTGTAAATATAAAGTGAACATAGAAGTCAACACTTAGATGCGACAGTCTGTTTGACGATTAGATGCAATGAAACAGACTGTCGACGATTGCGTCTGTTCACTATTAACTATCTATTCATCTATCTATCTATCTATCTATCTATCTATATATATGTAATGCATATATGTGTGCACACACACACGCGCATGTGGATGCATATATATAATTATATATATATATATATGTGTACACACACACACACACACACATATATATATATATATATATATATATATATATATATATATATATAAAGTAGAAATACAATGAAAGGCATCTTAGAACAAACACCGATCAATAGGAACGTTAATACAAAAACGTTAAGAAACAGAAAGAGGTCAGCATGTATCCGAGAACAAAGATAAAATATATCACGAAAAAATGCAAAAATCAAAAAGAAAAATGCAGAAGAGACGATAACAGAAGGAGTAAAAGGTCGCTTGATTCGTAGTCAATGACAGTAGAAAAAAAAACATATAGTAGATGGACAGATAAAATAGAGAATTGTATTGACAAGATAAATAATAACACAATCCTGGTTGTCACGGTAGAATTTGAAAAAGCCATCGTCTTTCATTAGACAATCAATAGCTGATACTGCTGCTGCTGATCATAGACCATATTTGCAAACTGATAGCCATGTTATTACTGATTGAAAACCAGTCATTTATTAAAAGCATGTGCATCTAAGCGCATGAAATAGTCCGCAGTCTGAAATTTTCACTGTGTAATGATCGATAAATGTGATTAAGGGAGAAGAGAGTTGCATTGTCAAAGAAGGAAATTATGTTGAAAAAATAGACATTAATTGTATAAAAAATGAATTTTCTACATTAGGCTACGGAC